ATCATAAAGTTTTCTTCCTTTATTCTACTAACATGTTATGCTGCATTGATTGATTTTCTTATGTTGAACGATGCTTGCATTCATGGCATAAATCTTAGCTGGACATGGTGAATAATACTTTTTAATACGTAGTTGTAATATTTTGTTGGGAGTATTCTGCATTTATATTCATAAGGCTTACTGGCCTTACTGCTTTTCATGTAATGTTTTTACATGGCTTTGGCATGAGGAAAATCCTTTCTACAATGAGTTAGATGTTTCCTTCTCGGCAAGCTTTTGGAAGCATTTGAGAAGGAATTGTGTCAGTTGTTTAAATGTTTTTAGATTCACCATTGAAGTCATCTGATTCAGGACCATTCTTTGTTGATTTGCTTTTAATACTGTTCTGATCTCTTTTGCATAGGTCTGTTGATATTTTCCATTTTTTCCTGAGCCAACTAAGTTTTGTGATTTAAGGAAATTGTCCATTTCTTCTAGGTTTTTAAATTTTTATATAATTTTTCATATAATACTTTTATCTTTATAAGGCCAGTGATAATATCTCCACCTCCATTTTTTTTTCATTTTAGTTATTTGCATTTTCTGTTTTTCTTTATCAGTCTAGCTAAAGACTTACCAATTTTGTTCATCTCTTTAGAGGCCCAACTTTTTTTGCAGGAGTGGGGGTACAGGGTCTCGCTACACAGCTCAGACTCGTAGTATTCCTCTTGTCTCAGCCTCCCCAGCACTGGCATTACAGGCATGTGCCACCACACCCAGTTCTGGGTCGGCACAACATGTGGTATCAGAGATCCAACTCGGGTCCTTGTGCTTCCCAGGCAGGGACTTAGACCACCTAGCTATCTCCCCATAGAGGCCCAACTTTTTATTTTAATGTATTTGGTACAGGGTCTTACTATGCAGCTTGGGCTCATCGTGATCCTCCTGCTTTGAGCCTCTTCAGCATTGGGAGGCTTGCGCTAGCACACCCAGAGTTGGTGGCTAGCTCAGCGTACTGGCATGGTCTATGGTGCCGGAGATTGAACCCTGGTTCCTGAGCTTGCCTAAGCAGGCACTTAGTCTGAGAGGCACAACTTTTGATTTCACTTATTTTCTCTGTTTGTACTATTCTCTCTTTCTCTCCATTGTGTAGTTTAGGCTTGCCTTGAGCTCACTATTATCCGAGGCTAGTCTTGAATTCACAGTGATCCTCCTGTCTGAGCCCTGGCATTACAGGTTTGAACAAGCATGCCTGGATGTTATCTTTTTTATTAATTTCTGATACTTATTTCCTTCTTTCTACTAGCTTTGGGTTTAGTTTGCTCTAGTCTTTATAGTTCCTTGGGCTATAAGCCATTGGTTTTATACTTTCTTTCTTTTTTTTTTTTTTTTGTATTTTAGGGAAGGGTCTACAGGATGTTCAGGGTCTCACTACTAGATTGGACTTGTAGTGATTCGCCTGTTTACAGCCTCTCAAGAGCTGGGATTACAGGCATGCAACACCACGCCCAGTCTCAATTGCCATCTCAGTGCATCCTAGGGGTGGAGCCAGCACTGCCGGCCCAGGATCAAAACCTGGCCCCTGCTCCTGCTTGCAGGTGCTTTAATCTGCTGAGCTATTTGGCTGCCCCTTATACATCCTTTTTTTAATGTAGACATTTATACTATATATCTCCTTTTGAGTACTGCTTTTACTGTGTTATGGTTAGGGTTTGGCATGTTATGATTTCATATTTATGCATCTCACAATTTCTCTTGTGCTTTTTTTTTCTATGACACATTGGTTCTTTTATTAAATTTCAACATATTTATTTTCCAGTTTTACTTTGTTACTGTTTCCTGTCTTCATCCTGGTATGATTGGAGAAGATACTTTGAATGTTACATTTGTATTTAAATCTATTGAGAATTATTTTGTGGCCTAACAGTCTATCTAGGAGGATGTGATATCTGTGCTTGAGAAGAACGTGTATTCTGTTGTGTGGCAGAGTGGACCATATGTGTTTGTTAGGTCTAATTAGTTTATTGTTCCACTCAAATTCTTTATTTCTTTATTTGTCTTTTGTCTTGTTCTATCCATTATTGAAAGTAAAGCTATTGAAGTCTGCAAGTATTACACAGCTAATTTTTTCTTCATATGTACTTGGGGGGGTCTATTATTAAGTGTATAAATGTTTATTGTTGTATCTTTTTTTCTGTATTGAAGCTCTTTAAAACATGTCTTTTTCTCATTTTTTTTTTTTTTTTGTATTTAGGACAGAGTGTACAGGGTCTCACTGTGTAGATCAGACTCATAGTGATCCTCCTGTTTACAGCCTCCCAAGAGCTGGGATTACAGGTGCATGCCACCATGCCCAGTATCAATTGCAATCTCAGCGTGCCCCAGGGACGGGGCCAGTACTGCAGGCCCAGGGATCAAACCCCAGGCCCCTGAGCCTGCTTGCAGGTGGTTTAATCCACTGAGATAGTTGGCTGGCCCTCTTTTTCTCTTGTGCAGTTTTTTTATTTAAATCATTTTGACTGATACTAGTCTTGCTGCTCCAGCTTTGTTGTTGTTGCTATTTGCATGGAGTGTCTCTTTCCAACCTTCTACCTCTGGTTGATTTATATCTTTGAATCTGAAGCAAGTCACTTGGAGATAGGATATTATTGGATCACAGCCACCCCTGGCTTGGCCCCTAAGGTTTTGAATGTGATGAGTTACTTTTCTCTTGCTACTCTTAGTTTCAATTATTATCATCATCTTTCAAAAACTTGGTCATTGTACCTCAATGTGGATGTCTTTTATTTTACTTGGAGTTCATTGAGCTTTTTGGATTTATAGATTCACATCTATCATCCAATTTGGGAATTTTCAGGCATTATTTCTTCAAATTCCTTTTTTCCTCCTCTCCTTTCCTTTAGAGACTCTCAAAATTTATATGATTCATTTAATGGTTTTCCACCAGGCCCTTAGGCTTCATTAACTCTTTTTTAAAAAATTTGAATAATTTATTTTGACAAAGTATAAAGTATGGAAAATTAATCATTTCAAAGAATAGAGTTTCCCACTTGCAGAATTCAGTTTTTAGCACCTTTGAAAAGAAACACAGAGTTAAGACCCGTGGCCATACAGTCTCTAGAGCTACCCACAGAGACTAAGAGTGTGCGGCTCACACACAGCACAGGCATTTGGTTTATTCCTTTACATTTTGAGAGTGCCACAAAACATAACAGAGGAAGAAGGTGCCACTGAATTCATGGTTGGTGATTAGAAGATGGGACAGAAATGCTGAGATAGACGAGGGCCCAGGATTTCTCCAGAGGTCGGGTGGACAGCCCGAAGGTGCTGATGCTGCAGTACGTGGTCGTGTTCTCCCACAGCACGGTGCAGCTCCATCTGTATTGCTATCCCAGAAGCAGGAACTCACCGTGTGTAGCCCAGCTCCATGCTTCTGCATAACTACACAGGTCACGATGTACTTAAGTGGCTTTCCCTGCTTGGTGAGTTGGCTTAGAGTCCTCTCTACTACCTTGGTGGTCCACTGATTGGCTCTGCTGTGCTGGTAAGGTTGTCGCTCTTACAAACTGAGCTAAATAAGCCTTTCCCCCTTTTATTTTGGGTGCTGGGCATTTTGTCTCAGCAATGAGAGAAAAGTAACTAAAACACTGTTCATAGCTGAATGTACCATCAGGAAGTGGGTCACTGAGGGAGAGCCTTTTGAGAGTTTCTCTCTCTGTAGTGCTGTTCCACCATTTCCTGTTTCCTACTCACTAGGAAGTGAGTGACTTGGCTCTACCACACCATTGCACCATGATGCTCCTACTGTGGAGCCAGTACTGTGGACTGAAAACTCTGAAACTATAAGCCATTTCCTTAAACACTTAAAAGTAGTATGTGTTGGACATTTTGGTCATACTAACTAAAAGCTAACCAATACCAGCTGCTGTCCACAGTAATAAACCTTACAGTAGAATGTGTGCCCTCTGTTACGATGCTTAGGACCTTCTGCCTTATCCCAGAGAAGAGTGATTTTTCAGGCCTCATTTTGGCATCTCTAGTACATCTATCCCTAATATATGTTTGCTGAACTAATGAATTGGATGGAATATTTGCAGTGAGTCTCAAACCTTGCTGCTCATCAGAATCACCGAATAAACTGTACCCAAATCTTTTTTTTTTTTTTTTTTGGTGGAACCGGGGATTGAACTCAGGCCCTTGCACTTGCTAGGAAGCACTTATTCTACTGAGCCCTCTGCCCGGCCCTCCCAAATCTTAATTCTTGTCTTTCATATTGTTTTTGTAAGTCAACCTACATTCTTTAAAACCTACTTGGGTAATTTCTGATATGCACCTAGTGCAGAGAACTGCAAACCTTTGGCTAGGTATGAAAACTTAGTAGTCAAAGTATTTGGGGATGGAAATGTAGTTCAATGCTAGGATGGTTGCCTAGCATGCACACGCCCTGGGTTCAGTCCCTTGCTTGGAAAGAATGTCTATGAAGGGCTTCTACTTTCTGAGTGAGGCTCAGTGTGACTAGTTTTGGAGCTTTAAGACTGGGCGCCAACTCCATTGCAGCTATTTCCTAGAAGCTATCGTTAGACAAATTATCTAATCTTTCAGAGGATTTATAGGATTACTGTGAAGATTTATGTAAAGCCTTGGCATTCTAAACAGTTCATGTTGCCCAGGTTTATTCTGGCGTGCAGACTTGCCACCAGATGCCTACAGATGCAGTCTACCGCAGTACAGCTTCTCCAGTCAGCTTCTGACTGGTACTGAGTTTGACCCAGAAATGGGGTCAGCCGACTGACCTTCTCCAGTCAGCTTTTGGGAGACAGGGTGGGGTGGGAGGTGCTTTCCAGGTCTGCCTGTCAAGGGAAGGATCCGAAGACCTTCAAACGCAGAGGACACCCGGCAGACACTCACAGACTGCCCGGCGGTGCGGCTGCACCGCACACGGACACCAGGGGCCGCTCGCGTTCCCCAGCTCCCGCGCTAAGGGGCGGCGCTCCGCGCCTGCGCACTCGGATCAAGCGCCTCGGGAGCTGGGCTGCCTCTGCGGCCTTCCGCTTGGCTCCCCCAAACCGGCGCTCAGCCCCCTGCACACCCACGACCCGGGGGCAAACCTGGGGCGCACAGTACTCGGGTCTCCACTGCGAGGCAGCCGGCGTGGTCCCTAGCGGCGGGACGCGGCCGCCGCCCGCATGCTGCGCTGGCTCATCGGGGGAGGCCGCGAGCCCCAGGGGCTGGCCGAGGTAGGAGCCGGCCTAGCCGCAACCCGGGGGGGCTGGGCGGGCATGCTGTGGGCGGGGCGTGGGCGGGGCGTGGGCGGGGCGCGCAGGAGCTCGGCTGGGCCCCTGTGCCCGCCTGGGTTTGCCTGGAGAAGGTGCTGACTGCAGCCCTGCTCTTGGTTGGTTTGAACTGATACCTTTTTCTCAGCATCACCGGATACTTACCCAGCCACCAAAACATTTATGTCAGGAAAATGATTTCCTCTAATCATCATACTTAGGGGCCTGATAATTGGAGAGGCCATTTAATGGTGTACTGAGATTTGCATATGAAATGGGAATGAAATAATTTGCCTCCTTAAAAATGTTGAGGTCTGAATCAATTTCACATGCCACACAAGAATAGAATTCCCGTTTCTCATAAGAAGTAGCTCTTGACTGAAGTGAAAGATGAACTGTAAGCAGTTTAACTTCTCAGTTTTGATTTCCTCATATCTTTGCAGTTGAGACTTACTGACTTTTTAAAAAAGTATTTTAAAAGCCTGTGGACTTTCAGGTATTGAAAGGATTGTAGATTCTTCAACAAGTACACACATACAATTCAGTAACATAGTTAATCATAAAATTTGATTAGTCCTGCTGTTCCTAGCAAGCTTTCATTTGGGGGTACAATGCAGTTTTCAGGTGTTAGTTTTCTTTTTCTTATCTGAACCTTTGTTAAAAGGGAGACAAGATAAATACAGCATTACTGCTGAGGGGTATGTGTTTTATGAAAACATTTATTCATGTTAGCTTATATTTGGTTGCAAAAGTAATTCAGTTATTGTAATTTCTTTCAATTTGTACGTTATCATGATTTTCTCTAATTTATGGAAGAACTTTGTATTTTAATTTAAGCAATGTGTCTCAGTCTTGGGTTGATTTTGCCCTTCAGGGGCTGTTTGCAATGTCTGGAGACACCACTCTACCCTCACCCTGTACAATTCAGGTCATTTTCATGGGATGTGGCTTACTGGGATGGGGTGAATAGGGGGGTGTTCTCTGTTGGTATCCAAAACACCAGGGGTGCAGCTCAGTATGCTAGAATGCACAAGCTAGCCACAAAATGTCAGTAGTGTGAAGTTTGAGAAACCCTGATTTAGAAAATGGTACTGAGTTTGACCCAGAAATGGGGTTAATAGGTCCTGTCTTACAGAATTAAGTTGCATGGCATGTATGCTCAGCACGATGTCTGACATATGGCTTGCCACATAATAGTGTGCTCTGTGAATGTTAGCAATCTTTATCAATATTGTTCTCCAGAGATGAGTTCATGGGCCTGAAAGGTTGATTCCTTCTTTTTTTTTTTGTCCATTTGGTGTACATGTATTGAATGCTCACAATGGATTATTTTAGCCTATATTTTACCACTTTGATTGACAGTTTTATTTCCAACAAATTTTAATTGAGAAACACTCATTCTAAAATAATTGAGTTGGATTGGCCCATTAATTTTTAAAGTCAGGTTTATGGAGATTGAATATATATAAAATAAATGCACTCTTTTTATAAATTTATTGTGACTTGAAAATACTCACATTTATGAATTCATGGCAAGAGAAATGTTTTATATGGAATTGCAGTCACTCCGTTGATATTAAGGGAACTAATGCCTGGTACTAGAACATACTAGTCTTGTGGCTTTTGAAGTATTTTATTCTTACATATGCAGTTGTGCATCATGTTATTCCTGTCTCTCTTTTGTTTTTGTCTGCTTCCCCCCACCCCCATTACAAGAAATCTCCATTACAGACAATAGGTGAAGAACAGTCCCGGAACCCCTACACAGAACTGCTTGTGCTGAAAGCACACCATGACATTGTAAGATTTCTAGTACAGCTGGATGACTACAGGTAAGAGACACTGTCTATCTGACTACTGTTTAAGAAGAGAGGTTTTAGGGAATTTTATATTTAAGACAAGTTCAAGACCCATTTCTTTTTTTTTTTTTTCATAATTTTATTGAGAAACAAATAGCAATGAGACTGTTTCAAATCAAATCGGTAGGACAGTTTCAATAACTAACACATTGCATAAATTCTTCTTAGTGGTTAATTGTTGTACAAGATGCGGACTTGAGATCCTATTTACAAACACCATTAGAACAAATCACTCTGTTCATTAAGGGAATGTAACTATATATCTATCCTAACCATTCTGAATACACAGATACAAAATGGACATTCATCTGTATCCCCTTTTCTTCTAAGTTCCGTTATTTGAATATTATAGGTGTGTAAACTCAGCAAAATATTCTAAAAGAGTCCAGTAGCCCATAATAGCATTGGGACAAGACCCATTTCTAAAAATTTAAAAACTGATTACTAGTAATTGGAGGAACTTAGCCAATTTTTTCCAAAACTGTGACATTTAGCGGAAATTGGATTTGACCTCTGTGACAATGAAATTATGTATTATATTTGTTTTATGAGTTAGAAAGTCTTATTAGTTTGGAAGAAGCAAATAACTTTAAAATTTGGGTGGAAGTTATAATTGTATATTAAGGTGACCTTGAATTTGGGAAATGAATATAGTAAATGTTATAGTGAGTAAAGTGATATAGTGAGTAAAAATAAGGATTTAATTTGAGATGTTTTTTATTAGTGGTGAAACCCTTTTAAAATGTATGGTTTTCTATATTTCCTTGATAATGTGGATAATATGAAATGTAATGTATGTACAAATAGAGATGAAGATAAACAGGTCTTATGGATAATCCTTAGCTTATTACTAACCTACAGTATGTATGTTACTAAGCCCTTGTTCCACTACAACATAAGTACTGTAATATCAAAGCTTTTGATGTTTGTCTTCCTTTCTAGAATGTAACTTTCATGAATGGGGGCTATGTTTTCCTCATTTGCCCCCATATTAATCCCTAGCACAATGTCTTGCATTTAGAGGTAGTTATTGTTGAGTGAATTTTCTCTGTTGTCTTTGCTGTTCTTTCTTTTCTTTTTGACTCTAGAAGAGACAGCTGCTGTAGCTGTTCATAACTCTGACTAGTACTTCTCCTGTCTGTTGGCTTTTTTTCTCTCTCTGCTTTGTTTATGTTTTCGGCATTTGGCTGCTTTTGTGGTGTGCTGTGCAGTTCTGACTCTATGTGGAGTTAAGTCAGATTCCACAGGTACAGGGCACAGTTCTCCACTTCAGGCTCCCTCACCTCAGACTCTAGCCATAGTTTAGGTTTCTGCATCACTCACACTTCTGACCAGCTAGCTATAAGTTTCCACTGCTCCATCAGGTTTGATGATTCACCGGAACAAATCACTGAACTCGGGAAATCACTATACTGGTGATTATACTTGTATCATAAAACACATATGCCAGGACCTACCAGGTACAGAGAGGCTTAGGGTGAGGCCTAGCAGGGTCTCAGTGACAGCCTCCTTGTGCTCAGGGTTCTTTGTCCTCTTGAATATCAGTTGAGTGCCTTTTAGGTATCCAGAGTTTGTCCTGGTGCCTCGCTATGTAGGCATGGTTACATGAATCCCTGACTGCATAATTTGAACTCATGCTTGAATCCTTCCTTTCTCATGACTCAGAGAGGTTGGGAGCTTAGTTTGATATTCTGTGACAGTAGCACAAGGCCCTCTAACCCCATGGTTCATCTTTGCAGTGTGCCCATCTCCCATTCTCAAGTTAGCTGAGCCCAGCGTGAGTTGTTTGTTAGCATCAGCTCAGGTGTGGTCCTAGGAGCCACCATAAATGATGGTGATATGATCGCTCAGGAAGTTCCAGGGGTGACAGTGGGATGGCAGACCTAAGGTACACATGTTAGTGTGTTTTTCTTTTAAAATAAAAGTTAATATATGAGTTGGTTTCTTCTAAACTAAAACATTAGTATTCAGATTTAATTGTAGTCAGAAATGTGTTTTAGGTCGCAGTTTGGCACTCGGTCTCTAAAACATTCACCATCACTGAGTTAGAGGCTCCCTTCTAGGTACCAGGGACAAAAGCCAACAAAATTATTAATCATTATGTTTCCCAACTTTTTCTTGAAAAGATTTATCCTCTGTTGTATATAGTATAATCTTTTGTGTGAGATTACATATAAGTAACTTCTCAGCACTGTTATCCTGTTATGATGTACAAATCATAGCATGTCAAACATATTGTAATAGTCTTCAGGATTATTCTATAATATGTGGTTTTTGTATATCTTTTGAGACCCTCCATTTATTTATTTGAATGGTCAGCAGGGCATGGTGGTGCATGTCTGTAATCCCAGTACTCAATAGGCTGAGCAGGAGAATCGTTGTGAGTTCAAAACCCACCTGGGCTACAAAGTGAGTGCAAGGCTAGCCTGAACTGCATAGTGAGATCCTGTTTTAAATATATATATATATATATATATATATATATATATATATATATGAAAGATCATTTCTGTGAGTCACTAAATATTTCTCCAAAGGTAGGATTTTGGATTGCCTAAGATTTTTTGGTAACATATTTAACCCTAGTAAGTTGCTAGATTAAAAATGTCTAGATCGGGTTGGCCAGATAGCTCAGCGGATTAAAGCACCTGTTTAGGCAGGTGCAGGGACCAAGGTTTAATCCTTGGCATGCTGAGTCAGGCATGCTGAGATGGCAGTTAAGATTGGCCATAGTGGCGCACGCCTGTAATCCCAGTGCTTGGGAAGCTAAAAACAGGAGGATCACTAGGAGTCCAATCTACATAGTGAGACCCTGTAGACTTTGTACTAAATACATTAAAAAAAAAGTCCAGATCATTTTTTATAATCACTAATGTGTGATTCCTTAAATCCTTTTAAGGAATTCTATTTTAAGGAATTCTAAAATAATTTTCTGTAGGACAGGTAAGGAATAAATATATAGTATGCTTTCTGGTCTCAGTCTTTAAATTTCATATAGATTGTTAAAGTTACCTGTTCTTTGCTATTCTGCATGTGAAGTGTCCTTATAGCTATTTATACTGTATAGTTTGAAGGCAAGGCCAGCTATCGCCAAACAAGTGCTATTGTGGAGGATTACATTTTTCCCACAGCGGTGGTGATGTATACATCATTTGTTAACTGATAAAATATTCTGTAAACAGTAAAAAACTATAGATGAGTGTATCAGTTATCTGTTCAGCCAAATCTCACCCTGAACTTCTTTTTTTTAATTCACACGGCCACATATCTTTAGCTTATTATTTGTAGGATGACGTATCTTTTCACCTGCAAGTCAAGCTCAGCTGGTCTTTCCTAGGCTCTCTTCCCTAGCTTCAGTCACCCTGTGGCTGGTGGGGATGGCTGGTGCATAGTGGTTCCAGCTGGGAGGACGCCTCCCCTGTGTGCATCTCAGGGGCTTACTCATATATGATGGGAGTTCGCATACTTGCGGAAGACCCAGCCTGAAGCAAGAGACTTTTCAAGTGTTTCTTTGCACTGTTTGCTACCATTTCATTGCCAGAGGTAGTCAGGAGCTGCACATAGCCACGGATGAGATGGATGAATTCCATGCTTCTTAATGGGAGGAGTAACTAAGTCCTGTTGTTGTAAGTGTGGGTAGAGGAAGGGGAGTAACTGTGGCCGGAGGTGCTGTCTAGCACAGTGAATTTAAATGTCTAGAATAGATGAAAAACCCTGCCTTTTGGCTTTTGTAGTACAGTGATGGTATAATTTCATGAATCATATTTATTACTTGTATTTCAAGTCATTGCTCTATCAGACTTTACATATAATTAGGATATTTTCCAGCTCCAGACTTCTGAAACTTTAATCCATGATTTGCTTTAAAAATTTGATTGTGTAGTAAAAAAATAAGAACTGAAAGAGACATTCTTGGACATAAGATATAAAATGGACATAAAAAGTCTATAAGCTATAATCTTTTTGAAGAGAACTAAGAGTGTTTTCACTCTAAAAATATGTAATTAACAGTAATTAAATACTTATGGAGTGTTTTTGATGGTTGAGATAGTTTAGACTTTTCATTGTATGTGTCATTATTAATTCATTTTCAACTTACAAAAATACCTTTCCACTTTTTAAATAAATTTTATGTCATTATACTTTTTATTTAGTTTTTGTAGACATTATAGTCTGGGTTTTTCTTTTTTTTTTGTTTTTTTGTTTTTTTGTTTTTTTTTTGGTCAGCTGTTGTAATCTAGGTTTCACGCTTCAGGTCTTTAGATAATATCATCTTATTGAAAATTTTGCAGAAGGATTTTCTTGTTTTCTCAGTGGCTCAGCTAAAATCAGTGAGTGGAAAATTTTCTCAGATTGGTTTTTGAAGGTACCAAATAAATCTTGTATAACCTAACAGACAGCTGCCTTTTCTTTTCTTTTTTAGTATTTCTTGAACATGAAGTGAGGGTCATATTGATTGGGAGATCACTAAAGAAGGCTAAGCCTCAGCAAGAGTCTTCTAAAAAAATGGACTGTGCTAAAATTGCATGTAATACTCTAGCATTTGACACATTAAACTAAGCTGAGTTCATAACACATTTTAAGAATAGCTTTCTCTGTTGCTCATTTGACCATTCCTTGCTCCTCCAGGAAACAGACAAGGTTATATAGGATGGTGCTCATGACTGGAAAAGAATCAGATGACCCATGAAGTGCCAGACTGGAGAAGAAACTGTGTCTCTGGGGCGGCTGGTGAAGCTGCACATTCCCAAAAGAGTGAACAAACTCAGTATGGTTTCATAATACACTGACAACAAATGGTGCTCCAAATTTAAGGACATATTCCAAAAATTACAATATTCTGTTTCATTTACCTTCAGAGCTAGAGATCAGTAGTCAAGATGGCTTAGATCCCCCTAATTCCTGGGTTCCACTTTCTGAAGGTGGAGTTAAATGTGCAGGAGCTTTATTAGAAAGAACTGTCTATTAGAGGA